AACCGGCGCCCGCTATATAAAGCGTGACCGGACGACCGAGATGCGCGGCCGCGTCTAACGGCGTTGGGCGACCCTGTATTAATTACCGTTCACTCCCTGTGCTGAGATGAACGAGCGATCTGTATCATTCCGCGACGTTACTTCGAATTGCCGAATAAAATGCTACATGCGCTACTCTTGAAGGGCCAAACAGCAGCTTTTACTGTTGCACGAGTAAATATACTTTCGCGTATCTTAACATCAGTTACACCTCACTTATCGTGGGCGGCGGTAATCACTTAACTTCAGGTGAACCACCAGCTGGTTTCTTGATAACTTTTCACACCCTAACACGTTTTTTAATACTCATTTTTCACACCCTAACTCTTATTCTTCTATCATTACCGCTATTTCATGATGACCGGAACCAACATTTATCGTTTTTTTCTCACTTACGTATCTTATTTTTTCCAAGTCTATACTTATAAAATCAAACTGCATTACGAATATATACGTCCATACCATAGTAAGGCCCTGACTGCACTTCTATTACAAAACTGCATTATTTGTTTCTTCACATGGTTTCTTCACTTTTTAATTTTATATCACCAATGCTAAGGAAATGAAAAGCTTTCGTAACAGTATTATTTGACTGTGTCGAGTGCTCTATCACTCGTCGGTGCTGTCGCGTCGCTCCGTTGGATAAATCTCCCGCCATATCGACCATTGCGGCTAACGGAGCACGACGAATCAATGGGGTCCGTTCTGATCGCACGCGATTCCCGTCGTTTGCTGAATCGCCCGACCGCCGTCGTATTATAAAGACCATTAAACAGCCTCACTCGCTTCATTTGCGGATGTGTTCAAAATTAATGATGAATGCACTGCTGGATACGTCAGATGTTTTTTATCTTTCTATTGGGCTATAGTGGATCTTTTTGTTATGAGAAAAGGTGTCAAAGGAACACCTGATGGAGACTACACGGGTGTCAACACCTGTGAAGTTGCATTTACTCGCAATGATGATTTAATAATGATGACGTATGTATGTCCATACTGCGCGGCGTTTACAAATTGTTCCGCTTTACATTATATGACATTATAAGAGAATGTGTTAGATCATATAGAACATATGACACGGAAATAGATAGCAGTCTATAGAAGTGCAATCTAATTACGCCAATTGGTGTAATTTGCCTCAATTTCGCTGAGCTAGTGTCATATCTAGCGTCTATTTGTATATAACTAGCGTCCCGCCCCTGCTTCGCACGGGTGCAAGGTATAAACCTTCCTCCTGAATCAATCTATGTAATAAAAACCCGCATCAAGATCCGTTGCGTAATTTTAAAGATCTAAGCATACATAGGGACACACAGACAGCGGGACGACTTTGTTTTATACTAATAGTAATTGTTAGTGATATCATCGTGGCCAACCATCAATATGGACGTCGGTATCCCCATTTATCAACCGCAAAGCAAAAGTATAACCACTTCAGTGGTAGATTAAAACTCTCCTGTTAATCCATTCCATAAAGGGAGTTCCTTAATAATTGCTATGGGCGTCTATTTAACTTGTTTCAGATGGTGCCCCGTAAAAGTTAAGCACGCGATGCCGGGACATGCGCGTTTAAATATAAACGACGAAAGGAATACCTAAGCATCCATATTACCTTAATAGTAATTGCGGATTGCGGAAGTCGGTTGTATGTCTTACGATATACGCATGGACATTGAATGGGCAATCAAGAAGTAGTAAAAGGACTCTGCGAGGTTCCAATGAAATCGCGCGTGTCGTGTATATAGCTAAAGAATTCTCTGATATTGTACTCTCAACCCTGCACACGTTTTGAAAAGTTGAAATAATTATTTTATTTTTTAATTTCTTTTCGGTTATACAATGAAAGCAGACACAAACCAGAGTTTGTCAGCTGGTATTGCGTCGCCAACTAGTACCAGTCGTATGTAGGACCTACCCCACGTTATATAGCCAAAAATTAAACTCATTGCTGATTTAAATTCGAACGCATAATTGGATTCGAAATCAAGATCTTCGAAAATACGCCTGCGCTGCTTACAGTTTAAAACTTAATGATTGATTATTTAAGATCCGCTACAGACTAGCTATATTTCTGGGTGCGAAACCAGAAGACGCAGTTTTTGTTAATTTATCTACAAAAATGTTCAATTTAAAGATTTCTACTTGAGTGCAGAGACTAGACTACACTATAGATAAAAATCATTCCTAGATGTTGTATATTTCGAATTTGTTGTACAGTGCGATATCGTTTTTTTTTACGGAACAATTTCCGAAGCGGGCCAGTGAGTCGACGGCCTAATCGTGCCATATGGCCGACCGAGCGCAATAAACAGCTATTCCGCGAACCGTCCGCATGTGTCCGCTACCGGGAACGCTCGTAAAAAAGATAGGCCGCGCACCGTGCGTCGCGATCGGCCGCGGACTGGACTATTTGAATTTAAATACGGCGTGCCGCGAAACTTCGACTCATTGAAATTCATCGAGGCGCATACAAAACGGTATAAGGCGCCGATATAGCGCCATTCACATCTGTGATCATGAACCTTAATAAAATGGTATAATTTTAATAATATCTAATCCAGCGTTTGTTTTCCATTTTTCCACTTGAGTGAAAAACCAACTTTCATCTCAATCAGAACGATGCACGGACGAACACCTGTGCGACAAAACTTCCTTACAACCAATTAACGCTACTATTTTAATAATTAGGAACTCTTCACATAAATGCCAAAAAAAAACTGTAGAAAGTTTCAGCCAAATCGGATAAACGCCTGAAGACACGAAACGCAGCTATCCTCCTTCAAAAAACATCTACATATAACTGTCACGAAAATAAAATTATTCCAAACAGAAACGAGTTTTTTTTTTCAACTGCATAGTAAGAGATATCGATAAAATATTTCCAATTAAATAGCATAATATACATTTTTACGCACCGCTTCATCGCGAATATAACGCGCGAGCACGTAAGAAAAATGAGCATAAAAAGATAAAAATATCAAATAAAATTTTGTTAAAGACAGACACAACAATATATAAATATATATTAAGTAGAAGGCGGCATTATTTCAGATTCATAGAGCCCACTATAACACGAAAATACATAGATATATTAAACTTCCCAGTTTGAAACCAGACAGAGGAAATAAAGCACGTGGTGAGCTGTCTGCGCTTCGGTATTGATCCGTCGGACCAGACGAGCGTACCCAGACGTACCTATAGTAGTTTTAATGCTACGTCTATAGTGTTACAGCCATTTTATTGGTACGTCGCGTCTGGATGCACTACATACATACATCGGACGTGTACCGTACTTCAGTATAATGGCACATTACATATACGTATCATATGTATGTTTTGTATTTTTCTTTCCATATTGGCATCTCTTTCTCCCTTAACTATCTCCCGATAAAATAAAAAGTGAAAATTGAATCATTAAGTTACTACATTTTACTTTTTCAATACTAAATGTCAAAACTTTTTCGTCCTACCACAATTTAGCCCATAGTACAGTTGCTAATCTGATGACTCGGTGGCGCCGTCACTAAGCCATTGGCTTGGGCGTAGGGGGTCGTGGGTTCGATGCCAACACGGGACAAGTATTTGTTTGACCAACAGATAATTGTACCGGATCTGGGTGTTTGTTTCCCAAGGATCCATTTGTTGACGCCAGGTAGGCGGCCGGTCGTAAAAAAATCCATAGCCAAAACTACTCACAACATGATTCACATCCAGGCATATGGCAGGAGGATGATGATGAGAGAGTTGGTATCTAATAAAAATATTTACATTCAAACTTGATCAGTTCGAAATCGGGCACAAAAGAGTAACAATAATGTATTGAATTTAAAACTAATTAATTTAATTTTACTAAAGGTCATCGCAATTACATTAGTATTAATATGATGACATTTTAAAATCATTTATTATAACCTCACGAAACTGCTCCAAACAGGATTTTAATTCAAGACAAGTTCGATCAGTGGTGAAAACATTTCCATATGTGCATCGCATTTCTTTCCCGTGAATTATTTTTATACATTAAACACATCAATAACGAATAAAGCTTTGATAACCGTACGAAGAGAAGATACCTTCTCTGTGACCATAATATTATGTGTACAAATACAAAATGTAATGTTAGGTATGTATGTGCATTCTCAATACTAATACATTAGCAAAATCCGATGGTCCGTGGGACCATTTAACTCGAGTAAAAACCTATTCCAGGGCCATAAAGACAAAGCAATAATACGGATTCGTTTACGACGGAATAAAATGTCCGCTTAGGTGCGCATTAAAATAAAAGGCAACATTTAAATAGGACTTTATTAGAGGGTCCTCGCGTTAGTGCGTCATCGAGGTAATGTTATGGTTAATGGGACTATTCAACATATGTAAAAGGTTCGAAGTTCGATTTTATCCTAGAGGAATAAACGGCATTGCGCGACAATCTTGTAAGGAAATAATGCCAATCCTGTAATGGAGATAGGCTTTCAAATCGAATGGTAACCATAAAACTAAACATTTGCGGGAAATGTCTTGTATACATCATAAAAGCATGCATAAAAGCATTCACTGTGGTAGGACCACGCAACAGTCCTCGCTGTTGCACAAATGGGCAGATCCGTCCGGGGAAGTACCACGACCTCACAGAAGACCGGCGGAAGTATTATACTTCTGCGTTTCGTCTGGTGAGTGAGCAACGCATCTGCAACCCTACGGGTGTTGCAAAAGTCAATGGGCAGCGTTTATCACTTAACATCAGGTGAACCCCAGCTAGTTTGCTTCCTTTTCACATATAAAAAAATGCAGATAAGTAAGTTTTTCGTAAATTGAAATTGCCCATGCGTTACGGAACACTGGAGATTTGTGTGTGCGCATCAGTCGAATATCTCTCGACGTTCATTGATCGGATTCGGAATTCTCCGTCGGCCGACCGCGCCTAGCCTGCGTCGTTCGCATATTTCAAACGCTACGAAATGCCAAGTGCCAAATGCATCGCTATTTCCAATCGGCGCTTCGACGGAGCACCGTCTGGGCGTGCGTGCAGCGTGTATTTCGGTAAACGGGTCGCCGGGGTCGACGGCCGGGGCGTCGCGACGCTTAATAATACGACGGCGCAGGTGCACCCCGCCAGCGGAAGGGGGGGGCGAGGGGCAGAGGGAAAGGGCACAGGAGATTGATGGCCCGATGCAAATAGACCGGACGAAAAGGAAACCGAATTAAGCCCGATTACGCCCGCTTTGATATGGTTAAACGACGATAATTGAATACGATGGCTGTTTATTCACAGGCACCGACATTGGTGTTTAATGTCGTGAGCTGGACGTGGACAAGTCTCCGACGTGCCCGCTTGGGACGCGGCGGCGCCCGCCGTTAGCGCCAGACGGGGCCGATAATTTTTACGCCGCGTACACCGGACGGGAATCGAATCGAGCGCCTATGGGCAATTAGCATGCCTTACTCGCGGTCGTTTCAATGAGGTAATAAACGCGACGGTCTTGCGGAGAACGTCAGTGAATTTTGTGTGAATGAGTTTTATCTCGAGGCATTATCGTCTGAACAGAGACGACAGTCGCGAAGGCTTAAGAACTGCAACCGATTAATGTCACTTTAGCAATGTAACACGCATGGGCACTTAAATATGTTACGTGCATACTATTCCGACAAATTCATGAGGGAATTACTTCATAAATCACCTATTATATCCGCAGCGAACGGTATTTATGTCGTACAGTTTTATTACATACATGCATTACATTTATTTGAGCCTCATAAAGGCGACGGGTATTATCGCAGTTTTTGATTTATACCAATTGGCAAAAATAATGAAAAGAAATATTACAAGTAAAATAAGATAAGTATATCAATTTAATAAAAAATATCTGCAAATTAAAAAAAATGCCTTCTCATGACTCTAACACTAACAGAATTTTTTAACAGTGCTGTCTGACGTTTCGCAAAGCTTTTAGGATTCAAAATCGTGACAAGTGACAAGCGGTGAGCATGTCGCTTTACACCGGTAAATTGCAAAAAGCAATTTCTTTATAGGGCATCCGTAAAACCGAAAATCCCTTTGGTGCATTCTACTACGACCGGATCAATTAGCTCTTAATGTAATAACATACACGAGAAATTTATCACCCAAACTGGACCCAATTAACCGTACCTAAGACGGATTAATTGTTATTGCGTATTGTAAACAGCACCTCCCATTGCGAACGTTAATTAGCTTAATTAAAATTGCTCTGCATAAAAAGGATCACCTGCACTTAACGCGTGCTCGCGTTAAGGCCCTCTATTTTAATCTCCTAACCTTGAACCCATACTCAGTGCTAACCTGAGGCAGAACCATTAAGCAGCCAACGTAGTCGTGCTAGATGTCTGAAAGGCCATGAGTAAAAATAGATAAGGATCCAGCATACACTTACAATGTTATTTTTAACCTGTATTGTAGATTTAAGTTAACAAATAAAAATGAAACAAACCTAAACACCGTTACAATTAATTCTAGGTCATCCAAACACTTGCCCCGGGTGGGAATGGAACCCACGACCTCTTAGCAACTACGTCAACCGAGTCATAATCGTACGCGTAAGGTAATTTTTCGCCCTTGGTTTACGTTCTATGTGGGTTGACGTGTTTAAACAAGCCCGAGTCTTTGTCGCTAGGAAATGAGCTACTATATTTTTAAATTATTGTCAAGCTTTCAAAGTATTACAGTGAGTATAGCAGATTTCGTTTTTAGAAATAATGTGAACTAGCAGTGACGTTGAGAAGATATAATTTCTTACGTCACAAATAATAAAATGTAAATCGGGAAAAGGCTACAAATTTTTAATCATCTCCAGTTCTTTTTTTAACAATTCAAACAGTCTTTGGAGTTTAAACAATTTCCCTGTCGACTAAAAGTGAGAAAAAGTGGCGAAATTTATCAAAAAGGAGATTATTAGAAATCGGCCTTGAAAACAAAAGATAATATTCGGAAAGCAAAACAGAAAACGGTTTACCTCCACTTAATCTAATGGACCGCAGCTAAGAAAACGGTTTGTATCCCGAGACAAGTTTCGAGGTGCGGATGGCTAATAGGATGGCGACTTATCTCCTACGACTTTCCAAATAAGCGATGGCGAGATGCCGATTCAAATGACTCAAACGTAACCTCTGATCAGCCTGGGTTAAAGGCTCGAGCTAGTCGCCACGGCGATTGTAAATGGTATTTTTCGTTTTTCAGCGCGGCAGCAGTAAATATGTTCATTCATAATGCTTGAGGGAGCCGTGATAGCTCAGTGTCCGGGCGCTCGCTTTTAATGCAACATACTCGAGCGATCCGAGTTCGAATCCCGGTGCCAGCACTAATGAAATTGTTAATTTCAAGTGCTGAATTATCACGTGTCATCATGTTTTCCTTCACCGCTCAGGTGAAGGAAAACATCGTGAGGAAACCTGTATATTTTCGAAATAATAACAAAAAATATATTTTGAAGACATGTGAAGTCCGGGGTCGCTTGGTGGTCTATGCCCTAATACCCTCGGTAGAGACGAGCCTTTTGTCCAGCCGTGGAACTTGTATAGACAGTTATATTACTTTTATTTCCTGAAGTTCATTAAGGCTTGAGGCATGGAAAGCACAACTCTGACTCTTTTAATGTACCAACATGCGGGTTCATTAATTCGTGTGCTCCAAGTGAACATTTCCATAGATTATGTAAATTATTGGTAATGACCGCGCGAATGAGCTGGGACGTGTAGCGAGTGGGCGAACGACAAACAGCCGCTTAGCATTATTTTATTTACGCTCAACACGAACAATACGGTGTTTGATGCGAAAGCAACAGCGGTAAGACACCTCCCGCCCTCTGTGATTATGCGAAATGCTATAAACACGTCCATCAGCTTTAACCGCACATCGGCTAAGTCTTAAACTTTGTGCGTTACTATTCCAAACCAAATAGTTAATTTTTAAATTTGGAACACAAACCCACTCTATGGTTTTATACAGCATAAAAACAATTTCCATTCAAAATTGCGTCGCTGCGTTAAAAGTAAATAGAGACGTATAGAGCAAGATACGTACTACAAGATGTTAACAAAACCAGAGTACATCTGTTGTAAATAGAATCGGTTACTATTTAATAAGCCGACTGAGGAATTTCAAGGTTAATAAAATCGTACAATTATTAGCATAAATACATATTATATTAACACACATACGCAGGGAAACATCGTTAAAAAAAAAAAAAAATAAAAAAGGCTGACAGTTATCGGCAGTGCTAAGTTTGATACGTTCATTATACGATTAATTTATTATCGAAACGACCACGTTATAAAACTAACAGATATGTGTTAAAGCAGACCACCCTATATTTCCTATAACCGGTCACTAAGTGGGTTGGCTTTGATGTGCTTTACTGTTACTATAAATTGGGATTATCTAGCGCATAGTTGATTTTTAGATAGACATTATTTCGGAACAGGTTTTTCACACAGAAATATAACCCCGAGAAAGTGTTATGATGTTGGAATAAGGTTATTCTGTGACAATATTGGGGCCAGTTGTATATAATAAACAATAAACACAAAAAGAAACCAGTCGCGATAGAAACGAAAGTCAATAATTAAAGTCTGAAATGGCCAGTAGTTATGCATATAAATAATCTAATCTCTGTTTTAATATATATGACAACAACTCATTAGAAATATTAATAGATTTGTAATTACTAATCTAAAGACAACTCATCTAATAATAGACCTCAATTCTAAACGTTAACACAAGAAAAGCATTCCTGGTATTAAACAGACGTCATTGATCATTGAATGGTGATGAGTCAGTTTTTTGTTCAATTATGCTGCAACAACAACTTGGAGGCACGTGAACCATATGACTAATTTCCTTTGATTAGTTTTTAAGGCCATGCAGAATAGTTTTTTTCAGTGCCTATATCAGCTACGGCTGCATCCGCGCTTACCATTGTCTAAAGCGATCCAATTGCTGGAAAAGTAAGCCAACGTTCGCAAGACCGTCAACCGTCTAAGGGTTCGTGCGTTGAAGGCGACGCGGCGCAAATGGAGCTGTTGAAACTTAGCCAGCGACCGGAGCTTGGTGAAAAGTGTAACAGATTGATGAAAAGTGTAACAGAAACGCGGGCCTGTGATCGGGGTGGGTATGAGGGCATTAAAACCCGTGCTTTTTCGCACTCGAAGCCGCGAGCCGCAGTGTCGCGGCGGACGCCTTGTGATTCCGCCGAAGTCTACTGTCCAACTGCCTTCAGCGTTTACAATACAAATATATAAATAATAAAAAGAATGGAAACTTATTTCTTTATGCGAGAAGACTGCTAACGAGTACATTCCCATCAGTAGAGTAGTTTAACTACAGCCGTCCATTTGTAATATCAGTAGCAATTAGTTAGAAAAACCGTAAAACGCGTCTCCATCGTACGCAAGTCGTTTGTGAGGTCGCGGTACTTCCCCGTTGGAATCGATCCCCTTCCTGGCAGCAGAAGCTGTTGCATTATAGACAATATGAAATATAAAATTTCATGCCTTTTTCAAGACGGACATCGAGTCGAGAGCCACGAATCGAATACTAGCAGAACGTAACAATTAAGCTCTGTTTTAAAAATCACAGAAAAAGACTGGAGCTGAGAGACGAGAGAGAGAGATATCGTTTCCTAATTTTAAGGGACACATGAAGAAATTTAAGTGCTTTCGTTTTCACCAGCGCTTAAGTGTCAAACTAAGACTTTAGGCTTTAAAGATCTTAAAGTTAGGGATGGATGGTGAAAATGGGCATAAGAAGATCTCAGTGTGACTTGTAGCCTCTTAAGGACGGCAGACCTTTTTCCCGTATTAACGTGTCGCGTAGCTTAAAAAGGCCCGCCGGGGAATCGGCCGGTAGTTAATAATTCATTAGATATTACTCAATCGCTTACAACGGTGTACCCATCGCGGGATGTTTTTTTTAAAGAGTTTTTAGCCGGTCTGGTTTCTCCGGCGCATTGTCCTGTCCGTCGCATCCGATGCACACGCGGAAGGATGACGCACGATACTAATATGGTCATGTGTACCAAGCCGGGCGGCAGCAGCCGCTGTAGGTGAATTTGCTTATTCCGACTTTTATTCCTGTTCCGATATTAGCGTAGCAAGATAGCGGCAGTATTGTATGGAAAATGAAAAA